GATAAATTTCAAGGTAACCACAAAGAAAGTTAACAAACCTACTCATCAAAATAAAGAAGAAAAACATAAAGTCTCAGTAAAAACAAGATCTACAAAAACAAGAGAAATGAAAAAAATCCACAAACAAAAGGAACTCAGCACAGGAGAGTAAGAGGAACAAAGAAAACATCGGCACCACAAAACAAAAAGCACTACAAAGTGCAATCCCACTCCTAGGAATATATCCTGGAGAAATAAGAGCCATCACACTAACAGACACATGCACACCCATATTCATTGAACCACTCTTCACAATAGCAAAGAGATGGAAACAACCTAGATGCCCATCAACAGATGAATAGATAAACAAACTATGGTACATACACACAATGGAGTATTATACAAAGATAAAGAGCAATAATGAATCTGTGAAGCATCTCAAAACATGGATGAAACTGGAGGACATAATGCTGAGTGAAATAAGTCAATCACAAAAGGACAAATATTGTATGAGATCTCTAGTGTATAACTCATGTAAAAGTTTACACATAAAAAGAAACAATCTTTGTTGGTTATGAGGGATGGGAGGGATGGGGAGAACTAAATAGATAAGTGGTAACTTTGGTGAAGGGTAAGACAGTACACATTACTGGGGAAGCCAGCACAACTTGTACAAGGAAAGGTCATGGAGCTCCATAGACACTTCCCAACTCCCTGAGGGACTGAATTGCTCGGCAGGAGGCTGTGGGGACCATGGTCTCGGGGAACATCTAGCTCACATAACACAGTTTATAAAGACAATGTTTTACATTCTACCTTGGTGAATAGCGTCTGGGGTCTTAAAAGCCTGTGAGCAGCCATCTAAGATACTCCACTGGTCCCACCACTTCGGAAGCAAGGGAGAATGAAGAAAACAAGATACAAGGGAAAGATCAGTCCAAAGGACTAATGGACCACAACTACCACGGCCTCCACCACACTGAGTCCAGTACAGCTAGATGGTGCCTGGCTACCACCACTGACTGCTCTGACTGGGGTCACAATAGAGGGTCCTGGACAGAGCTGGAAAAGGATACAGAATAGAATTCTAACTCACAAAAAAAAGACCAGATTTACTGGCCTGACAGACTGGAGAAAC